CCCGTGTCCCCTGCATCGGCAGGCAGACTCTCAACCACTGCGCCACCAGGGAAGCCCTGTGGTTGTTTTTTTTTTTAATTTAATTTTTTTTAATACAGCAGGTTCTTATTAGTTATCTGTTTTATATATATTAGTGTATATATGTCAATCCCAATCTCCCAGTTAATCCCACCATGTCCCCACCCTGCTTTCCCCGCTTGATGTCCATACATTTGTTCTCTACATCTGTGTCTCTATTTCTGCTCTGCAAACCGGTTCATCTGTACCATTTTTCTAGATTCCACATATATGCGTTAATATACGTTATTTGTTTTTCTCTTTCTGACTTACTTCACTCTGTATGACAGTCTCTAGGTCCATCCACGTCTTTACAAATGACCCAATTTCGTTCCTTTTTATGGCCGAGTAATATTCCATTGTATATATGTACCACATCTTTATCCATTCGTCTGTCAGTGGGCATTTAGGTTGCTTCCATGACCTGGCTATTGTAAATAGTGCTGCAGTGAACATTGGGGGTGCATGTGTCTTTTTGAATTATGGTTTTCTCTGAGTATCTGCCCTCATGGTGGTTTTGATTTGCATTTCCCTGACCATTAGTGATGTGGAGCATCTTTTCATGTACTTGTTGGCCATCTGTATGTCATCTTGGGAAAAATGACTCTTAAGGTCTCCTGCCCATCTTTTAATCTGTTTTTTTTTTTTTTTTTTATGTCGAGTTGTATGAGCTAGTGATAAGTTTGGATATTCACCCATTATCAGTCATATCATTTGCAAATATGATAGAGAAACTAGAGATTTGTCTCAGTGAATATCCAAGCCTGCCTTTGAAACACAGGGAAAAAAAGTTCTTTACGTGAATGGGAAGTGCCTAATGCATTACTGCCTATGTGGACGGACACCTTTGTCAGTATTCAGCATTTTGTCCATCTGCCCCTTTACATCACCAAGGGCTCCTGACATGTCTGCTCCGTGGGTCTTCAGGCTTTCAGAAGGTGTTCCCTTGGCTAGAAAGGTTTAGATTTGGCCTACTCTAGAGATACAGGGATGGATGATGATACCTCAGGAGCAGGGTATATCTTGGGAATACGTACAGGACCTGTGCTGAGGGTAATGCTCGAATGGTTTTGGTCTGGGTGCCTTCTTTTGGCTTGCTCGACTCTGAGTCAGAGGAATTGAGTTTCTGAATTGAGTGCAGTAGCAGCAAATAGATTGCAAGTCAGAAAAAAAAAGGAGAAAAAAAAAAACCTTTCCAAGCAAGAAAGCAGAATACTACTTGGAAGGGGCTATTTTGCTGCAATCCTGTAGAAATATGGACTTGTGTATATTTTTAATTGAGAAGTGTAGAACATGTACCACCATCACGGCTGACATTTATCATGTCCCTGGTCCTCTCCCCACTCTTCCCTCCATCCCTAAACCCCCATCCCCTCCTTCGGCAAGTCCCTGTACCTGACCTCACCTTCTCAGTTTGATCCACCATGGAAACACTGTCAGTGTTATTCATCAACCTGAAAAATGCTACACCGAGTCCAAGGGTTGTGTGCCATGGTCATGCCAGTGGGAACAATTAATTATTCCATCAAGCACTTGACATGTCAGTCAATGAAAAAATAGGTGCTTTAGACCTGACCGCTCAAAATATCTTTTCAGACACTGGCATGCCAAGATCTTGATAGTATAATGAATTATTCTTTAAACGTATCATTTCAGGCCATCAATTTGGCCATATAGACTTTTCTTTTTGGGGGGGGAAGGACTAAATTACAGATGTTATCTAAAATAGCAAGCAAAACAACTTTGCAACCTGGGAAGCAAAGACTGGAGCTCTGAGAAGTAGAATTAGAAAAATGTTCCTTGGGGAAGAGGTAAACACAATTACAACTCACAAAAGTGTAAGAAAAGTTCCCTGGTGTTCTATGAACCTTGGGCATGAAAAATAGTTCATTCTCATTGACCACTGGAATTTCATCCTCATTTTCCATAATAAGGCTCTGGGAACCTATGAGATCGTTTATTATTCTGTTTGCGTCGTGGTACAAGCTTGCTGAGCAATATGGTTCCTGGTTATTTAGGATGTGTGGGTGTTGATGGCAGTCTTGGATTGAATTTTGAGTTCACTTGGAAGGTCAGTTTTTCCCGGTTAATCTGTATATGTAGATTCCTTTTCCCACACTTGATGTATGGTTTCTCTTATACTCCTGTGGCTAATTAATTCCATTCATTTGCAAGTCTGAGCTCTTCAAAGATCTGCGCCCATCTCCTCTCTGAGTATTTTGCAACCAGGGCTGAGAAATTGCACAGGCTGCTGGCTTTATGGGGAACGTTTAAGACCTTGGCATGTATTTTGGGTGACTTCTGAACATGGCACAAAGCACGTCGAGGCTTCAGCTGGTCAAATTGCTTTCATCCTAAAATGTCAGCTTTTTTTCTAGGAGCAGCAGCTGCCACAGACATTTTTTTCCCCTCAGATATCTCCACTGAATTGCTGGATGTCAGTGGTTATTTTTCTGTCCTGTTCAATAATGCCCTGTTGCTCCAGCGATGGTCATTTGAATACTGTCACAAAATAACAGCAATGTCAATTTGTTTTCAGGATTGGGTCTTAATTGTTCACCATTGTTTGAAAATAGAGAACAGCCTCATTAATTCACTGCAGAATATTAAGCATTTCATTAAAATATTGCCTGGAAAGGAGAGTTACTTCAAATCCCCTTTACATGTCCTTCATGGCCAGCAAAATGATCTATGCTGCATTCTTCACTCTCAAGCTGGAGAAAAATTGGGGCATCCTTGACCTTTTAATTTGTGCTTCAAAGAAAACATGTCTTAATGTTATGTAATAAATCAATCATCACTTACTTAATAATCTTAATGCATATCTTTGAAGTCAGCAACCGACCAGAGAGGCTGGGATTTTTAAAAATTGACAACTCTCTGGTCATCTGATGTAAACCGTGTTTTATTGATCAGCTGTGGAACAGTACTTGATAATCAGCTGTGAGTAGAGGCATGTGATCGTGGGGAACAATGAAAAATGAAGACTGTTTTATTTGTGTATATATATTGATACACACGCATTTTTATATATAGTCTCTGAAGTACATGGGAAATAAGACTTTTTAATATTTTAGTATTTGAAATGTGTCAGATAATACTAACTCCCCTTAAGTCTATCTTACCTTTGTACCTGAACATCCTGACATACACAGTATTTGTATATTTCATGGTTTCTATAATCTTGAAGTGACAGTTTTTACCACCATATTTTTATGTATTCTAGAGAGCCGTTGTTTAAAATGCAAATCTACCCGTGTTCCTTCAGTCCTCTTTTGTCTATTTGCCTTGATTTCTTTTGTTATCTGAAGAATTTTTCAGTTCAGACATTTTCAATTTAGAAATCACATCCTCGTTACTTCTTACTAATGCTCTGTTTATCATGCCAAAATACCCAAAAAAAAAAACCAACCCTGGATTTTTGTTTCATTTTGTAGATGAGCTTCAGATAACACAGTTGCTGATCTGCTGCTACTTTAATGACTAACTGCTGAATTATAGGTTTCCTGATTTGAAGTGCATTTAGAAAGAGCAACAAAATGCAATTAATCTGATAGTAATAGGAACAGAAGTTAATATTGGCCAGAAGCTAGACTGCTCATTGTAAACATCTAGCCTGAATAATTGACAGTCACAAAGGCTCACTTCTGGTTCCCAAAACGGTCCTCTCATTACTGCCTGCACAACTCAGCTTGACCCCGTTCCTCTTCAGAGAATTCTACCCAGACGTTACCAAGGTCCTATCTTGGTCACTAACACAACAGTGATCATGCCTCTCTCTGAGCTTTCCTGGTTCTCTCTTCTGTCTGTCCTGGAGAGCCCCTGAAGGGTAGTGTAAAGGGAATACTTGGGTTCATAACCTCAGCTCAAGGCTCGCAGCTCTTTGACCTTGGACAAGGCATTGGACCCTCGGGGCTACCCTTTAGGAATGCCTACCTTCAGGGGTTGCTGTAAGGATCAGCAAATCATGCCCGGCTTACTATGGGAGCTCCAAAGAGCTCTGACATGCCCCCCCCCCGCCCCAAAACGGGAGGGAAGATGTGCTACAATATTTCACGTTTTTTTTTTTTTTTTTTTTTTCTGATGGGGGCAGCACGTCCCATTACCAGCTCCCAGCCTTAAGTTGGGCTATTGTTACGAGTTGCAAGGTACATCTTCGCTTTTCTCTCTGCTTCCTTCCACATTACCTTTTCCATCATTTCTATTCAATAATTAACACTGAAATGTTTTCTTTACTGAAGCAGTGCTCCCAGAAGGTTTTTTACATCTTCTCTGGGTTATTTCATTTTCCTTTTATCTGAACTCTTGAAAGACCTTGTCTGTTATTTTTGTTTCTTTTCTGTTTTTTATGTAGCTGCTAATGTTGATTGTAGAAATATATGAAAATACAGATAGGGGAAATATCACTTAAAGGAAATCATAGTATTTATCAATCCAGACCTAGGCTGTACGCACACCGCCAACACTCCCTCAAACACATACACACAAATTGTACACACACAGGCATATAGATATAACTTTCTTCATGCTAAATTATAAATACATACATATTCATGCTATGTGTATTTCTGGATAACCTATTGTTTACTAACAGGATTTAAAGGACAGCTCCCCATTACCATAAAAATATTTACATCAACATTTTTAATGTCTGCAGGTAATTTCATGAAGCCAATCTTCATACTGTTGAGCAGTGAAACTCTTTCTACCTGCTTAATATTATTAAGGAAAAAAATTGCCATGCCTTGAATATCCTTATACATCTTTATGCATCTGTCCAACTCTTAGGATAAATTCCTAGACACAGCACTGCTGAACGTCAGGACATACTCATTTTTAGAGATATGATAACATACTGATAACTTTCCATCCAGAAACGTGGCACTTTTCATCTAACCCTTCAGCAGATAATCTGAATGTGCAACTACCCCACATATTCCCAACGCTGGATGAGTTGGCAGAAGGGTTTTTAAGCAGAGTTGCAGAATAGCTTTTACACAAAAAACACCGAGAGACGAGAACATATTGGATCAGTCTGTGTTTCATATACTGAAACAATTCTGAGCACTCTGGTTAGGAAGGCAGGTTACAATCCTGATGTTGTGAGAAGGACCATGGCTGAATAGAAAGTGTCTCCAGTTTTGGAGAGCCGGACCACGCACCAGGAACTATTGTTTTGATCGAATAGACCTGATAAAGGAGCAGTGGCGAACATTATTTAGACAGCCTAGGTGGCTGTCACTTCTCCAAGTAGGTTAAGTAAAAGAAAGGCTACACAGGTTAATTAAAAGGTAACAGCATGCAGTTGGACACAGCATTAGGTAATTGCTTCTTCCACTTGGACAGCTATGCAGTGCATATTACAGGGGTCTAGGAAAAAAATAAACTTGTGTGACAAAGATGAGACACTTGTACCTACAGCTGGAGTGCTCTTCTGTTATCCCCACATTAAGGTATTTATAAGCCTGGATGCGTAATGTAACATTTTGAAATTACCTACAAACACTGAACGGCTATCCTGGCAGGCTTGGGTTGTTTTAATTGTATGGAAAAGATGACATTTACAAAACCCTTTTTATTTGATAAGTTTCACATATACACAGGAGCAGCACAGTGAATGGCCACGTACCCGTGACCCATTTACAACCATCATCAGCCACTGTTGTTTCATTTAAACCCTACCTACTTCAGCACCGAACTACATCGAAGCCAGTCTTTGACATCATATCATTTTACTTGTAAATATTTCAGTGTATAAAAAGGTGATTTGGGGTGATGGGTCCTAATCAATTAAATTTTCTGATTTAGCGTTATCGGAATATCTTTGTAAAATCCTCAACCTCAGCAAAATGACTGCTCTGAGCTACAGATTCCTGTTCTGTAGAAGGGATACTAATAAGACGTGGACACGGTAGCCGTACTGGGAGGATTACTGAAGATAGTTCAAGGTAACATAACATCAAAAACTGAAAAACTGTTAACTAATCGTCATCGCCATTGTCATCACTGGAATTCCGGTTTTACAAGCAAATGACATGGGAGCTTTGGAAAGCTGAGCGATGAGATATAGGGGCTTAAGAGGCTGCTGGGAAAGGAGATGATGGAAAATGTGACAAGTATGTCAGAAAAAAAGAAAAGCAGGAGATCATTGAAGAGGGAACATAATCAGGAACAGCCAGTAGTCCAGGCATGTGTGACAGTGAGGGCGTGGGTCTTCTGATCACTGTGGCCACATGTCTGTGTTCCATTTTTTGGCACCAGGATAGAAACTGGGAGAAGTGAAACAGCAGTGGAAGGTGGACAAGGACGAGACAGAGAACTTGTGTTTTTAAAATGTTAAATTCTCTTAAAGGTCACGTCAGACCATAGTAATAAATACTATGACAATGTAGAAGTTGAGCTATATATGGAAATAATTTTTAAGTCTTGCCTGATGGGTCCCTAATTTCCAGAAATGATTGATACTGCAAATTTTTATGTGAACAACATATGTAAGTCATCCCATGGAATTTAGTTTTGGGGGACTTGATTGACTTTCTAGCTATGCCAATCTTATTAAGTGAAAATGGTTGGGTGATTCCCCACGTGATTTTGAAATTTTGGGTCAAAGGTGGCTATCTCCACTGTTCCATTCATCAAACACTTTTTTTTTTTTTTTTTTTTTCTGCGGTATGCGGGCCTCTCACTGCTGTGGCCTCTCCCGTCGCAGAGCACAGGCTCCGGACACGCAGGCTCAGCGGCCATGGCTCACGGGTCCAGCCGCTCCGCGGCATGTGGGATCTTCCCGGACCGGGGCACAAACCCGCGTCCCCTGCATCGGCAGGCAGACTCTCAACCACTGCGCCACCAGGGAAGCTCAAGCACTTACTTTTTGACTAATATTGATCACTAATTTCTTCATCCAAAAAATGGCATACAGGATAATTTCACAATACAGCATGTCTCCAGATGCTTGATTTTTAAAAATGTACATCAATAAGTTATTTTAATTGTTATGCATTAGAAATGACTCCAGGCAAACGTTGACAACGCTTGCTTTTTCCAGAACTTACCTCTCCTGTGACCCATTCCCAAAGAATTGAATAGCCACAGAGATACTTTGATGAGTGAACCCCAATGGAGGAGTGAATGGCTGATATGATGTTAATTGGGGCCCCTCCTCTTAGATACCATTTGCGATTAACAGACACTCCAGATGCCTTGGCTGGAAGGAATGGATGTTTGGGACCTTTTACTGGCAATGCCAGAGAGAGAAATATTTGGGGGCAGGATGGCATTTGGTGTCTTCAAATTGCATCACACAAAATTTGTAAATCACATTAAAGGGTTTGGATTTTATCCTTAACCGTATGTCTCCCAACTAAAATGGGAAGTGACATAATCGTCTTTGTATTTTAGAAAGGTCAATCTGGATTGTATGGAAGCAAGACGGGGATGGGAGCAGGGGAAATAGGAGACAAGTATAGATAGGATACTATTTATAGTGACAGTGTGGATGGAGGGAAGTGCGTCCATATTAGGCATTAGAATCCATAGACCTTGATTATCAATTTAATGAAGAAACTGAGGGTGAAGTGGTCAAGGATGTTACTAAGGATGCCGATTTGGAAAACAGGCTGGATGATTGTGTCACTTGCTGCATCAGCGAAGCAGGGAGAGAGGCTGGTTTTGGAGGAAAGATGATGAGTTCCATTTTGGTTGTGCTGAGTTTGAGGTGCCTGTGAGGTAGAGGTATCCTGTGGGTGTAGGAGTCTTACAGCTTGGCAGAATAGATGCTCCCAGCATAGAAATGGTGGTTGAAGCCTTGGGAATAAATGGGATCAAAGACAGCAGTCAATCCGCAGAGAATACAAACAAGCACACAGGTGCTGAGCCCCGCTTGCATCTGCCCTCTCAGGTTGGTGAGTGAAGCTGCCTTGGATCCTGCAACCCAGCCAACAGCTGAATATCACAGAGCGACACTTGGGAGCCCACTGAGTACCACACAGAGCAGAATTGCTCAGCCAAGCTCCCCCCGGAGTCCTATCCCACTACATTGTGAGGTGCAGTGCAATGTTTACTGCATTAAGTCACCGAGTCTGGGGTTGTTTATTTGGCAGTAGAACACTGGAAGGGTTGTCTATGCCACACTCCCTCCTAATCCAACTTTGAAACATGATGCAATCAGTTCAGTATTCTCTTAAGTCAAAGGGACCTATACATTGGTCTAAAACCTGTGTTTTCACCTGTAAATCAAGGATGATAATACCTGCAATCCCTTTTGCTCAGAATTATTTTAGGGCTCAAGTGAAATAATATACGTGAATGCACTTCATAAATTAGAAAGCACTCTGCAAATATAGACGAATTTAAATAGAACTGTAAAGCACTCTATCAATACAGTTCAAATAGATTTTTATGGTGAAAAGAAAGTTCTAAACTGATATTACAAAAATTAAAAATGGTATTAAATATTCAATGTTAATGAGTGTACTTATAATTTGAAGTTACATTAGGATCATCAGAATTACTTTGACTTTTCCATAAATTGACCTGGAAGCTTTGTAACAGTTCTCCTTGTCTATTTAGTATTTTGGTTCTTTGTAAAAGGGTGGGAGTTGATTTTCAGCTCTCCTTTCATCTTGTGTTGGTCTAAAAGGGCTTTATTTACTTGAGGAAATTGAGCAGATTCATTTTGGTGTAGAACAAGGAGTAAGATTGGATCCAAATTGATACCCAGAAGGAAGAGGCTTCCTTGGATGGCTTGATACTAGGTACAGCTGACTAGCTTTTAAACTTTGTCAATTACCTCTTTAGTAAATTGAATTACCAAATTAGCACCAGTTGCTCAGCAATCTGGTGATCTGGTACCAGTTTTCTTCAGGGTAATTGAATTAATTTGTGTAATTTAAATGAACACCGATCTTGCAATTTTTCCATCATGATGCCTTTGAGAAAGTGGGTGAATGGAGAGTTCACATTGAATTGTGGTCCTTAATAGAAACACACAGAGGGATGCTTTCCTGGGTTTATGTTTAGTTATTTGACATATGCCTGTAATAGCCAATTCAAAGTAAAAGCAAAATAAAATGGGATGTGAGGTGGGGGTCAGCTGGGGTGATTCCTGTAGACCAGAGTTTCTTAATATTGGCACTACTGACCATCTGGGGGTCAGATAATTCTTTGTGTGTGTGTGGCAGGGGGCAGGGTGGGCTATGCTGTGCCTTGCAGGATGTTTAAGAGCATCCCTGGCTGCTACCCATTAGATGCTGTAGCCATTCCCTCCCCTCATCGCAGTCACGGCAACCAAAAGAGTCTACAGATATTGCCAAAGGTCTCCTAGGGACCCAGTTGCCCCCTTTGAGAACCAGTGCCGTAGACGATAGAGTGTGTTTCTCATAGTAGGAATCAAAAATATTTTGCCCCGTACTCCTCCCTACATCTCATCCCCAGCTCCCCAGCCCCAACCGACAGCTTTGTGCATCACATACATTTCTGTTTAATCGGCCCATCTCCGGAGGTGCTTTTCAGGGTAGCGATCTCATGTTTATCTCCTTGATGTTTGACAATGGACTGCTCTTCGTCAGACCTGCCTGTAAACTGACATCCAGGTCTGAAGGTGATTTTTTAAAGAAGCCATCCTTTAAAAGGTCATAAAACACTTGGCATTAGGTTCTTAGAATGTGTGATGAATATTTTAATAGTTAAAACGTAGGCAGGCAGCAAGGAAATGATTTAATGTTGTAAATAAATCTCTTTGTGGGATTTAATGTGCAAAAATGGACAGCAATGGCTTTAAAAAATCACTCCCCAAATGATGGGATCTATACAATGGCGCACTCTGTATACTGGATCCATATCTGGAGACAGTGTTCACTACATCTTTCTTAGATATGGGAGGAAGACACTAAGATCATTTTCTCTCTTAGGACCTCTATTTCTTTTTCTCAAAAGGAGAAGCCCATAAGGTCAACTTTCTGGGAAATAGTACTGATATCAGACCCCTGGAGAATGTACTCTCCATTGCACTAATCACATTCTAAGAGATAATAATCACAGATCATAACACGGAAGTAGTGATAATGATGTGCTAGGCACTGATGTAAGAGCTGTATATGTGTTAATAGTCTAACAACGCTGTGAGCTAATTCAGGAGTTGGTCAACTATGGCCGCCTTGGCCACATTTGCCTGCTGCCTATTTTTGTACAGCCTGTGAACTAAGAATATCATTTACATTTTTGAGTGGTTGAAACAAGAAAATCAAAGGAAGAAGAATATTTCTTCACCCCTTAAAATGATATGAGATTCAAATTTCAGTGTCCATAAATAAAGTTTTATTGGGACAGCCACATCCGTCTATTTGCATACGGTCTGGGGCTGCTTTGACAGAGCGGATCAATTGTGACAGAGACCATGGTACCCACAAAGCCTAAAGGACTTAGTATCCAGCCTTGGATGGAAAAAGTTCGCTGACCCCTGAGGTGGGTGCCATTACTGCCCTCATTTTACAGAGGTGGAGACGGAAGTACAGAGAAGTAAGTCATTTGTTCAAAGTTACGTATCATATATGTGAGAGTCAGAACTTGAACTTGGATACTCTGGTACCGCAGTGCAGTGACAGTAAAACTTGCCAGGACAGAACTCCTCTCTTTTTTTTTTTTTTAATTTTTATTTCATATTGGACTATAGTTGACTTACGATGTTTTGTTAGTTTCATATGTACAGCTAAGTGATTGTTATACATATACATGTATCTATTCTTTTTCAAATTCTTTTCCCATTTAGGTTATTACAGAATATTAAGCAGAGTTCCCTGTGCTATACAATAGGTCCTTGTTGGTTACCTATTTTAAATTTTTAAAAAAAATTTATTTATTTTTGGCTGTGTCAGGTCTTCGTTGCTGCGTGCGGGCTTTCTCTAGTTGCGGCGAGTGGGCGCTACTCTTTGTCGCGGTACGTGGGCTTCTC